TGCGCCAGCCCTGGCCCCCCCCCCCCCGCGCCTTCCTCCCGCTGTAACACCTTTCTCTCCTCCCTCTCGGGGACAGGGGACGTGGGGCTGGCTGGGGACACGGTTGCTTCAGCGGCAGAGCAGGGGAGGAGAACGGCGGCACGCTTTGGCAGCGCGCAGGCTTTTTTGGGGGGGAGATGAACTTCGCCGCCCCATTCAGGGCCTGCCGCCTGCCCCATCCACGGCTCAGCGCTCTAGGCGAATGCCTAGTTCGTCTAGCGGGTGAGCCGGCCCTGCCTGTAGACTAGGTCAGTGTTTTCCAATCTTTGGATTGGGACCCCAAAAATTGGGCTGTGGGCCAGCCCCCCCCCTTTCATTTTCTTTTGTATCTTCCGTATCATACATTAGCTGGTATTTTTTATTCACTGCATAGGCACACTGATCGAGCAAAACGTGTCCGGATGGTTACTAGATTTGAGTTTCCTGCTTCAGACCAACACAGCTAGCCACCTGAATCAACAGTAATGGAGAAGGAGAGGGTGGTCAAAGGCTGGAATGTAACTTCCATATGCAAAGGCTCAGAATGCCACTTGCTTGGGGTTCATAAGTGGGGGCAGCTGACTCCTTTGTGCAGGACTTGTTGGTTTCTCAAAAACATCTGGCTAGTCACTGTAGAAAAGGGAATGCTGAACTAGATGGTGGCCAAGGTCATAGTTTGCCTAGGGTACCAAAAGCCTTCGGGACAGCCCTGGGTGGGTCACCACACCAAATAAATTTGGACTTGGGGGTCACCATACCAAAAAAGTTGGGAACCGCTGAACTAGGTGACAATCCTCACTCATCCAAGATCCAAAAACAAAAGCCATGTAATACTTTTTTATGAGGAGCAACCCAAATGACTCCAAACACTCCAGGATTCTTCATCAGCGAACCTTCAAAGCTCACACATTGTTTTGTATCATCTATTTACTTAAGTTATACCCGATCTTTCTACACCACACTGGCAGTAAACAAAAATAAAGGAAGGAACAATGCCTAAAGGCAATGCTTTCAACTACCATGGAGAATACTGTGGCTGCGGTCACATGGAGCATTAGCCACGCTACAGAGACGGAAGATAGGCGGATTTTCCAGGCGCTATCACACTGCAACATCTGGGAACCGTAGAGCTCCCGTGGCTAACCTGAGGCTTCCCGCCGAAGATGCGGCTCAAAAACATCTGGCTAGTCACTGTAGAAAAGGGAATGCTGAACTAGATGGTGGCCAAGGTCATAGTTTGCCTAGGGCACCAAAAGCCTTCGGGACAGCCCTGGGTGGGTCACCACACCAAATAAATTTGGACTTGGGGGTCACCATACCAAAAAAGTTGGGAACCGCTGAACTAGGTGACAATCCTCACTCATCCAAGATCCAAAAACAAAAGCCATGTAATACTTTTTTATGAGGAGCAACCCAAATGACTCCAAACACTACAGAATTCTTCATTAGCGAACCTTTAAAGCTCACACATTGTTTTGTATCCTCTATTTACTTAAGTTATACCCGATCTTTCTACACCACACTGGCAGTAAACAAAAATAAAGGAAAGAACAGCGCCCCAAGGCAATGCTTTCAACTACCATGGAGAATACATAAATGAATTGACAGATAAGAATACTTTCCTGGGAGTGAGCCCACTGAAGAGACCAGAGTAGGATTCTGAGTAGACCTGCTTAGGCCCTGGGCTCAGTCACTCACAGTCAGCTTAACCTACCTTCACAAATTGTGAAAAGAAAAGGAAGGGGGAGAGAACAATGTTGTGAGCCAGTTTGAGTCGCCAAAGGGGAGAAAGGCAGGGTATAAAATATATATGTTAAGTCATGCTTGGAAATGACCTGGAGTTCTCCGGAAGGAAAGTGGATCTCCAGAATTCACCCAGAGGAAATGGCCACTTTCGAGGGCGGATCTATGGTTCACCGCAGAGAATCACATCCCCACTAGCTCCCCCTCCCCCCGCCCAAACTCCACCTGCCTTAGACACAGCCCCAAATCTCCGGGAATTTCCTAAACTGGAATCGGCAAACCTACTAGAGCTTACTGCCCGGTGAATGGGGGCAGCAATCCTGCCTGCCGAATTCCAGTCTGAGCATTTTAAGCTCTGGGCCTCCCACTTTTCATTTTGCAATGTCAGCCCCCGATGCCTTATTTTGGCATATTTCCCCCCCTGTTGCCCCATCGGTTGCTAATGAAATATTCCCGGGCAGGCCAGCCCCCCGCCCTTTTGCACGGTTGTTTTGGGCGGCGAGCCACAACGAGCAGAAATGTCCAACGAGGCGCAAAGAAGAGCGCCCAGGCCCAGCCAAGGGACCGGCGCGTTCCAGGGGTTCCCCTAACTCTCCCTTTCGCATTGCAAGAGGGAGCCAGCAGCTTGCGGAGCGGAGGGAGGGGCGGAGGGCGGAGAAGCAGCGGCCGCCTCGATTTCCTCCACATCACACATGAAAGGAATGTGCTGCTGGTGAGCTCATGCGCCCCTCCGCCCGCGCCCCGGGAGGCGATGGGTCCTAGTGCTCCTCCTATACCCGTGGAGGGAAGGACCCCTCGGCCTCTCTCCACGCCTTTCCAAAGAAGCGCCCGGAGTCCTGACCCCGACAGAGCGCTCACACGCGCACATTTACTCCAGGGACCCAGGTTCCAGTCCTCACTCATGCCATGGAGCTTTGCTGGGTGACCTTGGCCGAACCTACCTCACAGGATTCTTGTGAGGATGAAATGGAGGAGAATAATGGGAAAGCCGCTTTGGGTCCCCGTTGGGGAGAAAGGGGGGAGGGAGCGCACAGACGAATTAAATAAATAATAAATACATAAAATCCCCGCATCAGCTTTCTCGGTCCGCCAGAGTTCACTTCTTCAGCTGCGGCGACGAGCGGATCCTCGTTTGGGTAGACGTTTTGTGTCGGAGGAATGCACAGAGCAGCGTTAGGCCAACCGAGCGGTGTCTAGCCTAGGGAAGCCTACGCTGGCTCAAAAATCTTATTAAGTTTTGCATGTTTTTTCTCTCTGCTCCCGCAGACTAAGCAGGTTCTGCCCTCTCTGGGAACGCACCCGTGGTGTTTTGTTCCGTTTTTTTAAATAGTCGGCTACGATCTGAAATGCTTTTATGGCACCCACCGTCGACCTTTCGACACGCAAACTCAGGGCGCTTCCCAGCTTCAATCCTGCCCCTCCCGCTCACCCCAAGAAAGACCGGGATCTCAGCCCCCTCGCCACACGAAATCGGAACCCAAACGTAAAAGCAGACATTCCCTCCCCTCCATGCGGGAGGCTCTTCCGGGGCATCCACGATAGTTACTCCTAGCGGCATCCCGGTTTTTCCTCCAGACTCGCCCTTCCTGGTGTTTTCTTGATCTCCGGGCTAGATTTGTGTCTTCCCGACGCGATCTCGTTTGAACGGTCCGCGCCGGGCCTGTGGCCGCTTCCCCAGCCGCTTGCCCGAGCACGCCCGCCGTGCGCCCCCTCGGAAGGCAGCAGGAGCGCAGCGCCCCGGCCGAGCCCCGCCATGCGCCGCCTCCCCTCCCTCCGCCCCTGTCGACTGGGCGGCCCACCCCGGGGCGGGGGGAGGAGTGTGGGGCCCGAAGAGAGCGCGAGGAGCCTATTCCGGACGTGGGACCCGCCCCGCAGCGGCTCCCTCTGGCCAAATAGGGAAGCGGAGAGGGGCCGGGAAGCGCCGCGCTGCGCTTTCTCCCGGCTCTTTGCGCCCGTTCGCCGTCGGAGGGCCCACGCCGGATCTCGGCCAGGTTTTGGGGGGCGGGGCGGGGGAAGGTG